ATAGAGTTGTTTTTCTAGATTGCTCCATGATTTCGTCCCCGATAACTTTACCTTGCCTTCCGTGATTAAGGGTTGTGCTCGGTTGTTTGCGATCGAGGAAGGGAAGCAGATTCATGGCTTGCTGTTGAAACTTGGGTTCGATTTCGATAAGTATGTGCAGAGCAGTTTGGTGAGTTTGTATTCGAAGTGTGGACAGATTGATTTGGCGCGTAAAGTGTTTGATGCAATGGATCATAAAGATTTGGTTTCTTGGAACTCGTTGATTGATGGGTACGCGAGATGTGGTAAAGTTGAACTTGCGATGGAGTTGTTTGAAATAATGCCGGAGAAAGATTCGTTTTCTTGGACTGCTTTGGTCGATGGGTTTGCTAAGTGCGGGAGGGTTGAGGCTGCCAGAGAGGTGTTTGACAAAATACCGGAGAAAAATTTGGTTTCATGGAATGCAATGATTAATGGGTATATGAAATCGGGAAACTTTGATTTGGCAAATCAGTTGTTTAATCAAATGCTTACAAGAGATTTGATCACATGGAATTCTATGATCGCAGGGTATGAGTTAAATGGACGGTTTAGAGAAGCTCTGGAAATATTTGACACAATGTTGGTGGAAGAGGATTTTAAGCCAAATTCTGCTACACTAGTCGGTGTAATTTCTGCTATTTCTGGATTGGCTGTTCTCAGTAAAGGAAAATGGGTTCATTCTTACATGATTAAAAATGGAATTGAATTGGATGGTTTGCTGGGTACATTGCTGATTGATATGTATTCCAAGTGTGGCAGCATTGAGGGTGCTCTAAAAGTGTTTCAAGCAATAGCTAACAAGAAGGTGGGGCATTGGACTGCCATAATTGTAGGCCTAAGTATCCATGGAAAGGCTGATCAAGCTCTTGAACTATTCAATAAGATGTGTATGATTGGAGAAAAGCCTCAATCTATAACTTTCATCGGGGTGTTGAATGCTTGTAGCCATGCAGGATTAGTCGACAAGGGCCGTGAGTATTTCAGAATGATGGTAGATTATCAAATAGAACATGCAATGGAACACTATGGTTGCTTGGTTGATGCTTTATGCAGAGCTGGACACCTTGAGGAGGCGAAAAACTTCATTCAGAATATGCCTATGACACCAAACAAAGTTATTTGGATGAGTTTGCTTAGCGGTGCTAGGATTTATGGAAACATGACAATTGGTGAATATGCTGCTCGGCGTTTGATGGAGATGTCTCCAGAGACTATTGGAAGTTATGTTGTTCTTTCAAACATGTATGCTGCAACAGGTAAGTGGAACAAAGTCTCGGAAGTAAGAGAAATGATGAAGAAAAGAGGATTTCAAAAGGACCCAGGATGCAGTTCGATTGAACATAGGGGTGTGGTTCACGATTTTATTGTGGGTGATAGATCACATCCCCAAACAAAAGAAATATATTCCAAGCTGAGTGAGATGCGAGAGAAGTTGATTTTGGCGGGACATGTTCCTGATACAACTCAAGTTCTTTTATGTATCGACGAGGAGGAAGAGAAGGAAGCTGAATTGGAAAACCATAGCGAAAGATTAGCTATTGCTTTTGGTCTTATTAATATCAATCCTAGGAATCCAATTCGCATTGTGAAAAACCTCCGTGTCTGTAATGACTGTCATTCTGTAACCAAACTCCTATCCGAAATCTACAGTCGTGAAATTATTGTAAGAGACAACAATCGTTTCCATCACTTCAGAAATGGATCATGTTCTTGCAATGATTTTTGGTAATTGCTTCTTTGTTAGCCAGAATTAATGCTTCAGTAAGAATGATCAGAATGTTTTTATAGTTGCAATACAAACATAGAGCTGGTTGATTCAGTGATAATAATAATTCCATTATAGCCAGTTCATTGTACTGATAAAATTACATCAGTTCCAAAGCTCACAACAGTACAGTTTGAGGAAACCACGAAGAAGACGCAGTAATGTTACAACGTTGCATAAAAATCTCCATGCAAATTTCTTCATTTCCCGGGCACGAAGTTGGTCGCGTAAGCCCAGGCGTTGTTGGCGACTGGATCAGCAACGTGGTCGAAGAGGTTCTCAATAGGACCCTTACCAGTCACAATAGCCTGAACGAAGAAGCCAAACATGGAAAACATAGCCAAACGTCCATTCTTGATCTCCTTCACCTTCAACTCTGCAAAAGCTTCAGGGTCATCAGCCAACCCGAGTGGGTCAAAAGCACCACCAGGGTAGATTGGGTCGAGTCCTTCACCGAGCGGTCCGCCGCCGACTCTGTAGCCTTCGACGAAGCCCATGAGCACAACCTGGCAAGCCCAGATAGCTAGGATGCTCTGTGCGTGAATCAGGTTGGGGTTTCCGAGGTAGTCAAGGCCACCCTCCGAGAAGATTTGAGAACCAGCCTTGAACCAGACGGCTTCGCCGAACTTGACACCGTTCTTTGCGAGGATTTCGGGGAAGACGCAGCCGAGGGCGCCGAGCATTGCCCATCTGCAGTGGATCACTTCGAGCTCACGGTTCTTGGCGAATGTTTCCGGGTCAGCTGACAACCCAGCTGTGTCCCATCCGTAGTCGCCGGGGAATTCTCCTGTCAAATAGGATGGAGTTTGCTCTGAGAATGGACCCAAGTACTTCGGGCGGTCAGGGCCATACCTGTCTCACACAGCAGTTCGATTTAAAAGTACTTCGGGGCCATGAATGCTTATCAAGGCTGCAAGCAAAAACAGAGAAGAGTAGTAAGTAAAGAGTTTTACCAGATGCTCTGAGGAGCGCTTTTCACGGTGCGCCTCATGGTAGCACGTCCACCGCCGAAGGCACCGACCTTGTGGACGAGCTCATTGGCCTGCTTCAAAGCTGTCTGGCCAGCAAATGCAGATTGTTGGATAGCAGAGGTTGCCATTGCTATCTGAGGCTGAGGTTTCTCTGTTGACCAACGGATCCTTTTTTCAATGAAATGTTGGGTCTGGCTGGCTTGGCTGTGTGGGGGTTGGGAGGAAGAGGAGGAGGGGGGTTATATTGGTAAAATGAAGATTTTGTGGATTAGAAAATGAACATGTCAGCAGCTTCTCATTGGTTGTTGCAGTGGATGTAGATTTCCATGAAGATTTTTTTTTTTTTTTTTTTTTTTTTTTTGGGGGGAGAGAGTGAGGTTTTTGTGATGCCACGTGGCATCGAAAGATCTTGTTACCCAGATGTTTATGGTGGTGGAAAGCCATGAAACGGATAGTATCCATATATTTACCGTTTGCCTATTGGTCTGGGGGTTGATCCAACTTGGTACGGGTACTTACGCTCTACATATCTAAAAGTGGTGCCAGGTCAGCTTAGCCAAAAAATAAAATAAAAAAATCGGTTTTTTTTGTGGAATCAAAGCTTGAACATTCTCCTCCTCCAAAAATTAAACATTATATAACCCAAATCATTTGAATTATGGAGTAGGATGTCTTACGAAACATTCTCATAAAGCAAGTTGAATTTAGAAAATTCTTGAGATGGCCTGTGTCCATTTGCTTTTTTAAGTAAATGATACCCTTAAATCACTACATCGAGAGAGATTGATTGTTTGCTAAAAGGTCAAGAGTCTAGTAATGGAGAAAAATTCTATAATACCTTCTAGGCACCGTATCCTTATGATTTTTTTTCAAATCATTCTGTAATAATTTATAAGTTTCCAAACAATCACCCAGCATTTTGTTCTCAATTAATTACTTACTCTACAACATCAAAATATTAAAAACTTATTGCTGAGGCAAGTACCTCCAAGACGCCATGGTAATCTCATGAGTGGTGTTGGTCACTATTTATATCTAGTTATCAAAGCACTAAAAAGATACAGCACCCTTAAAAAAATGAATCTTTGCCCTAAAGAACTTACCAGAGAAAACTAGTTAAATTTGACATGAGACCTAAATGTAAGCCAACCTGCTGTAAGAGCCCCAATTTCAAGATTCACCAATTCAGAGCAAGGCCCTTATCACCAACTAGCTGCCTATGCATATGAAAAAAAAAAACAGCAGCAGGCAATCATCTGGTGTAGAAAGACAGTAGCACCGAAGCTTGACAGCTATAGACAACATTTACTCATGATTTTGCAAGTCAGTGAGGACCTATCCTAAAATGTTATCAGTACCACTATCAATCCATTGGAAAATGACCTTCATTGGCTTCCGTATCATCCTGTGGAGCGCCCAACATTATTGCAGTCAGCATTAGTTTGCCCGCATCAGCAAAATTCTTATGCTGCATCAATATTCCTTCCACAGAAGAATTTAAGTCTTCCAAAAGTGGAGCCGGTATGTTATCTTTCCTCAGGGGGAGCACTTCATTAAACACTCCTTCAATAGTTTCTGCTTGTGACCCATAACACCTATTTGAGGCCTGGAAAAGCACAGTGTCTCTGAGTTGCCGCAGAGTATCCTCCTCGCTCCACCCCTCATCTACAGAAGCTTCGTAGAGCTGCCCCCAGTCATCCTGATCAGCTGCATTCCTCCAGCAATCCTCCAAAAGGTTCCTGTGGCTCTTACGAAATGAGGAGCTGGTCCATGCAAAGACATCAAATGCAAGCAATGCAAGCTCTGAGTTTTCACTTTTGAGGCACAGCTCTATGAGCTCATCTGGACGAAGCAGCCGCTGTTCAATTGCTTCATTACTGCAGGCTGCTTTGGTTATTACTTCCTGCAGGAGATAAATTCTGGTGTCTGAATCAACTGAGCTTGTAATGGAAAAACAATCAACTTACTAAAATATTATTCAGTCAAATGTTTTATAAGGCTTGTCAGTGGCCTTCAGTTGCCGCATCTGCAGCCGTGAAAAAGGGGAGGGAGCTTAAAGAATGGAACCAGGCAAAACTAATTGAACCAGAACATTCAGCAATAGCTTCAAGGTCCTACTATATGCAGGGGGAAAACGATTTTGTTGATCAAGGAACTGCTTATTGTTGAGGGGCAAATTACATATAACTCATGGTTTAGGCTATAACAAACTGGCGATACTTCACAACCTTGAGCTTCATCACTAGGGCAAGCAAGGGAGCATACAGCATTTGCTTAGAATCTTTCCTTACAGGCATGATGACTCAACTGCCCTCACATATAATGTAAATGATTGTGAGCAAAGTACATTCAAGTTTTGAAATGAAAATAAAAGGTGGAAACTTATTATTCAAATTAATCAGAAATTTCAGTGTTTGATATTATTTTCAGTACCAAGTACAGGTCCTTATAATGGAACAACAGTTCAATGTTGTTTGACAAAAACCCAATCCTACATGCACACATGGTGAATGTGAGCCAAGTTAATGTCATGCTCCTCTGTCTGTCTAATGACCAACCCCCTAGATAAAGTCTATGTTCTGGACCATGGTTTTAATTTTTGAGCATAAATTAGAAATATTTTTCCCCTTAACTTTAATGAAAATGGAGAACATCCACTATGGAAATATTTAAGGAAAAAATGCTATTTTCTGAACACAGCTTGGTCAATTATCTAGTTTGATGCTATTGTATGAGCTACAGATAAGGTCCCAGAAAAAGGAAACACAAAAAAATTTCAGTCCCTAACAACAGCACCAGAAGGTTATCAAGTCTTAAAACTGAAAATCTAGTGTCATTTGTTGGTAACGACGGGAGAATGAGTTCACCAAAAAATTTTATCTCACACTTGATGAAAGAATGGTTAGTCCCAAATGATACTCAGGTTCCTATCATGATTGTACAATTCTGGAACTTCACGTTTGAGAAAGTATACACAAACAGGTGATAACATCCAGGAGGACCCATCAACAAAAAGAATACATGGCAATTGTATTGGTTGATAACTAAAATACAACATACCTGCAATTTCAAAATCTTCATATCAGCTTCAATGCGTTCCACTTTTACTTTCCAGTCAGCATCTTTACCTGGATTAAATCAAGGGGCAAAAAATCAAAAGAGACCACTACTCTCCAGTCTCCCCTAACACCTATAAGAGACAAAAAACATCTAAGCAAGCACAAAAAGACACAGCACATGGCTGCTATCTTTGAGAGAAACTAAACAATAGACAATACCTGCTATGGCTGCTATCTTTGAGAGATTCAAAAGCCGCCTTCTTTCTGCCAGTGTTAATTCTGAATTTCCAAAGTCAAGCTCTGTTCCCTCTTCATCAGTTGACGTAGAGGTCTTTTCTTGAGAGAGAGATAATTCATGAAGAGTATCAGAAGCCAAAGAAAATTGATGAAGAAATACTTCATGAAGCCACAAGAGATTATTATGGTGCTTTAGAAAAATCGACAGCTCCTCCGGAAACTCTTCCCCAAGCCTTAGAAGCTTGGAAAATTGCCATTTCTTATACAATTGTTTGAACACAAAGTAACTAAACCCTCCCTGGGGTCCCGCACTCTCATGCTGCAAGATAGATCATCTTAAAATTTAAGTAAAAAAGAGAGGCATAAATTACGCCAGAAAAACAAGCTGAATATAGAAATTAAATGATCATATGGTGAAGTCTGAAAAGGAAAAAGACAAACTAATAACAAACAACTGAAACCAATCAAATTGCAAAGACTACAGAATTACAGAACAACAAATTGGATCGTTGTCATATTAGGCTATGTAGTCATGCTACAAACATTTGAATGGTTTATCTTTATTAATTAGACCCCTTGTGAATAAGAGATATTGATTTGCTCTCATTCAACTGAGTGCCTAACAACCTTGTCTTTCTAGTTGTTGGCAATCCCCATGATTATGGATTTGATTTTTTTCTATTTTCTTAAGTTTTTCTTCTTTCTAAACCCTATTTTTTCGTAATACATCAATTTGGTGTAAGAGCTAAAACTCCAGTTTCAGTTCTTATTTAGTTAGTAGTCTTCTTTTCTCGTTGTTTCCCAGTTTAGGTATTCTAATCATATTTGGCTACATAGGAGCTATATACATATGGGTGATTCATCATTATTAACCGTATCGCTTATGAATGAAATCTATTGATGTCCTCTTATTCAATTGAGTGCTTGACAATCCTGTAAAGTTTGGCTGTGACAACTTTCTCATCCGGTTATTATAGTCAATCCCCGTGATCTAGGATTGGATTATACTTTTTTTCTTTTTATTAACTTTCCTCTCTCTAAACCTTATTCCACTGTGCTACATGAAAGTTGGTATCAGAGCCAAAACTTCTGGTTTGATTTCTTATTTAATTAGTGGTTTTACCTTTTCTTGTTTCTATTTAAAGATTCTAATCATATTAGCCTATGTAGGTATTCTATAAATATTTAGGTGGTTCATCATTATTTATCAAACTACTTATGAACATCCCAACTGAGTGTCTAACAACTCTGTGACTGTGGTTGTGACAATTTTGTGATTGTGTTTGTTGCAAATCACCATGATTGTAGACTGAATTTATCTTTTTCTTTTTTTCTTTTCTTTAACTTTCCCATCTCTCTAGATCCTATTCTACTATGCTACATCAATACTTGGAATCTTTCTATAGTTTGGACTTCTGTACTTAAAAACACATTCAAGCAAAACATATTATGGAATTAATTTTGCTTTTAAATTTAAAATTATTATATGACTATGACAATAGTAAGACTAGAAATTATTTTCTTACTAAAGCAAGAACAATCATTATGGAGTAAATGTTTGTTTATCTTTTCTTTAAGAATTTGAAGAAAACAAATAATGTTTATATTTTCCCATCTCTCTAGATCCTATTCTGCTATGCTACATCAATACTTGGAATCTTTCTATAGTTTGGACTTCTGTACTTAAAAACACATTCAAGCAAAACATATTATTGAATTAATTTTGCTTTTAAATTTAAAATTATTATACAACTATGACAATAGTAAGACTAGAAATTATTTTCTTACTAAAGCAAGAACAATCATTATGGAGTAAATGTTTGTTTATATTTTCTTCAAGAATTTGAAGAAACCAAATAATGTTTATATTTTCCCATCTCTCTAGATCCTATTCTGCTATGCTACATCAATACTTGGAATCTTTCTATAGTTTGGATTTCTGTACTTAAAAACACATTCAAGCAAAACATACTATGGAATTAATTTTGCTTTTAAATTTAAAATTATTATACAACTATGACAATAGTAAGACTAGAAATTATTTTCTTACCAAGGCAAGAACAATCATTATGTAATAAATGTTTGTTTATATTTTCTTTAAGAATTTGAAGAAAACAAATAATGTAGTCGCTGGAGCTACTCATTATGGGAGAGAAGACATATGTAATAAAAATTAAGGAAGAAACGGAGATAGCTCACACATGAAAATTACACTGTAATTCTATTTACTTATTAAGATTAGTCTAGGGATGACATACAAGGATAAAATGGGATTTGAACCAAACGAGTTGTGAAGGTAGAAAATAACTACACTACACCATCTCAAAGCTAGTAGGAGTTGATTGAAAGAAATTTCAAATTGTTATAGTAAATATGATCTAGTAGACATTTGACATGGCCGTAACTTGTGTTGTAAGTTTAAAAAATGTTATTAAAATAGTTGCTAACTAAAAGCATTTTTAGTCAAAAACTTTTTGATGCTTTAGTAGAAATAATTATAAAAAGTGTTGTATTAAAATAAAAAAAGTTTGAGTGTTTAGTGAAAATGACTATTGATTCTGAAATCACCAAAAGAGGTATAAGAGGAGAAAAAATCAATATATGTTTAGTTAAAATAGGTTAAAAA